GGCAGTGTCTTGTAATTTGATTTTTTGTTATTATTTCTTTGACAATTCTGTTTGAGTTTATGTGTTTCAGTACTTCCAGTACTCCTAATATGGTGCAGTATGTACTGTGGTTATTGTGCTTATGTTTTAGTCTATCCCCATGTGTGTCTGAATGGCCTGATCAGCCAGTATATACAGTATGTTTCCCCTATGTTTCTTCTTCTGTTTCTTCTTCTTCTGTCTTTTATGGTCCCAGAATTATGGGTTGAAGTGTTTCTGTTATTCTTTCTTTGCTTTTTGCAAATAAAAATAGACATTATTTATTATTTTTCAAAAAACGACCTGTGTCTCTCTGGTCTATCAGCTCTGTCCCCGACAGTTTTGATAAAAAAAAGCACAGACAATGTCTTAATCTAGACTGACATTAAAATGTGGTGATTTCAATGACCAAGTCAAACAGCTCTGATAGTTTAGAGATGAGCCCAGATATTTGTAAAATGACACATTTTCTAATGATTTTGTATAGAAAAAAATCGCTGCATAAATAACTAATCCCATATTACTGCCACAACACACTTATCCCTTATCAACTCTATGTTCCCTGAGATACAGAACAGAACAGCTCTGATCCTCCAGTGACTGCAGCACCAAGCTGAGAGTCCTCCAGTCCCCGCTGAGTGAGACAGGAATACAGATGAGAAGATGTGCTCGTTCCAAACAGGTGGAAATACTTTATTGTTTATTAAAAGATGATTGGTTTGGGCTGTGTGCTCTGTATTTCTGTTCACCCTCAGTCATATGTGACACAATCCTAAAGTAAGATTAAATAGCTATTGAGTATTCCTTGGACTGAACCAACCTCAGGAAACCAGGCCATTGACTTTAACCCCAGCCATGAATGTGGCTGAACAGCTGTGCTTTACTGACGGACATTAAAACGCCATGATTAAATACTGCATCAGCATCACAGCATGCTGGTTACATCCCATGCTCAAACAAGAAGAGGAGATTACTCACCTTTGTCTAAAGCCACTGCCAGTGAAGAAAGCTTGGATACACTTTCTGTAAGAACCCTGGGCAGCCTGGCTACCTCGGCCCCTGCCAGAAGTGCCTGCAGTCACCCTGAGCTCCTGGATCCAGCAAAGCTGTCCTATATCCCAGCAGATGCTCTGGCCGCCTGTGAACTCCATCCAATCCGCAAGCTCTCAGCTTTCCTATCAGGGTCCACACTGGAAGGACTAAAAGTTCAAACATCGACTGCTACCTGATCTTCTTTGAATCTCCAGCTTTAATGAACCTCTTGGAAGGTTAAAGGTGAGTTTAATACCATGAAAGAGGTGTTTGTGTTAAAACAACAGGAAGTTGTTGGTATTGTACAAGGAAAACCTGAGGATCATATCCAATGCAAAAAAAGTAAGATGCTTTTCTTATACCTACATGTCTGCCCCATTACAGCCTTCGCACGCATGCAAAGATTATTGAAGCTGACTGACAGGTGCATGACACAACAGACACATAGTGTCTTGGTTTGCATATTGAACATCTGGTTACCTACGCTTCATAACTGTACGAGTAGCCGCACTCATAGACTGTAAGTAAAGATGGACGTAGCCTCTGTGACGTCACCCACAGGTTTCTGAAGAGCGGGTTTGAAGCTCAGAGCGAGCTGCTCCCCCGCCACGTAGTGGGAGATGGATGAGGGAAACGACACACAACTCTCACCTTCACTCGTCTGTATTTAGTCACATTTACAAACAAAACATACACATTCCCAACACACTCAGTCTCTGATGTGTCTTTCTATCTTGTATCTTTTTAGCTTATTGTAATGTTTTTAACTTAACCAACTATTTTAACTAATGTATTACATGACATGTGAGATATGATACGCAGTATACTTTTGACTCACTTCTTGGTCACATGAACTTAGCACAGTGAGACGAAACTACTGTTAACATATATTCACGTTTAGATAGATAGATAGATAGATAGATAGATAGATAGATAGATAGATAGATAGATAGATAGATAGAAGAAGAGAAGCACGATCCCCCTACTGGAGCCCCAGGGTATTACCAATAGATCATTGAGCAATTAAACCAAACAGACAAGGATCTGCATCATCATCTGTCTGAATCCATCTTTTCAGTTTTAATGAGTTCTGAGGGCTCAGTGGCCCTGAGAGCTCAACGCACTGCAGCTCAAGAAAACACATGCAAATACACAAACACGCTGCAAATGGAAGTGGACAATGGAAGTGTTTCCAGGGGACACTAAACAGTGATGAACCTGGCTACGACTGTTGTTCGATGCCCAATTATTACTTTCGAGGTTAAAAGCATCGAATAACAAGTGCGCCGCAGCAGGTTCATCGCTTTTTTTTATTGCCTTAATTCTGATAGAGAGAGTGAGAGAGAGACAGACAGAGAGAGACAGGAGAGAGAGAAAGAGGTTGATATAGTGCGAAGGGCCACGGGTTGGACTCGAACCCCGACCGCTGTGGTTAGGATTACACCTTCAAGGTATATTTGCATGTGTTTGATTTTTTTTGCAGCACATGTGTTAGCATAGATAATCATCTGCAACCAAAATCTAAATAACAATGCATAACAATGGAAATATTAAAATATAATCCTGCAATCTGTGTGTGTGTGTGTGTGTGTGTACACTTGTAAATGCTACATAGTGAGGACTGAAAAAAGTATTTTCCCAACAGATTGAGGACATTTTTGGGAGGTGAGGACATTTTGGCCGTCTTCACAACTTGGAACAGTCATTTGAGGGTTAAGACTTGGTGTTGGGATTAGAAACAGGTTTATGTCAGGATTAAGCATTCAGTTGGGGTGGTTAAGGTTAGGGTAAGGGGCCAGGGAATGCATTATGTACTTTGTATGTGTGTGTGAGGTCAAAAGTAACAGAGAGAAATTTAGATAAGATTCAAAGCAAAATAAGATGAAAAGAAAAATAGAAAAGTAAAGAAAGAAATGAACTTGAAGGTGTGTGGTTAGGGGTACAGCCAAGTGTCAAACGCTATGTAAATATAATGTCCCTGGTTACATGTCATTCTGCCTCACTCTGTCTTTTTCTTGTTTATCCTTTTACTGCCATGTAGCCTATGAAATGAAGGCAAAAAGCTCTAAATGGCAGCACTGGATATTACATTTCCTCTGTACAACTGGACTTGTAGGTGTTTTTGTTGTCTAATACAACACCTCCATCTAATGGTCAAAAAAAATACTGCACTAAAACATGAAATGGCCTTTTTACTGGAATTACCCAAAAATGGCCGTCTACTGTGTGCTCTTTGAAATGATATGGTACAGAGGATGTGAGGTCACTGTTAAGAGTGTTACTTTGAGTTTATGTTATGTCTTATATATGAAAATAATGTTCTGGCACTGTGGAGAAGTTGAGCTGCCCATTATTAAAAAAAGAACTGAGCATGTGACCAAATTCTCTTGAGGAGTCCTTTATTGTTATTAGTCAGGTCATATGGAAACAGGTACATGTGTATCAAGCTCCAAGCTTGTCCTGTCCAAAAATTCTAGAATCATTTCACAGCTACGTGGTTTCCAGAAGGTTAATAACAGTCAGGTTTTCATAACCTGTGTTTCATAATCTTTACTAGGGTTCCCCAGATTCTGGGGTTCCCCAGATTCTGGGGAACCCTAGTAAATGAGGGTGTTCTTGCCCTCTGCCACGTTGTTTAAAGAAGATATTAATAAGTTTTTCTATTGCTACATAGCTAACGTTAGCATAAACAACTGTTTAGGCTACTTACCAGTCTTACCATGAGAGAGCTTCAGCCATGTTGTGCTTACAAAACAAGAGGATATAATACGTCCTCTGAGCAGCTACTTCTTCAGGACAAACTGGAGGCTACAGTGACTCTGTGTCAGAAAGTGACAAGACGGGCCGACGGGGGCATAGCTAGCTGGTTAGCATGCTAATTTAAGTAGAAAAAAAGAAGTGATAGAAATCAGGGCGCCCTAGTGGCTCACCTGGTGGAGTGCATGCCATTGGGGCTTGGTCCTAACCAGCAGCGGCCCGGGTTCGGGTCCGATCTGTGGCTGCATGTCATCCCCTCTCTCTCCCCCTGACTCTCCTGTCCCTCTCTCACTGCAGCTTGAATAAAGGCATAAAAAGCCTGTAAAAAAAAAAAAGCAAAAAACTGTGGAAACTGTTCTGACAAACATTTTAATTAATAACAATTCAAATAGGCTGGAAATATAAACCTGAATCAACATTCATTTAAAAAATGTATTTACTGTATCAAAAATTTAAAATTACAGCTTAAAAATCAACCAAACTGACAAAAGTGAAATAAAAACAGACATATTTTAACATTGAATGAATATGAATTCAATACTTTGTTTTACTTGATCTCTGATCTTCATTATAATGAAGAAGCTACAGCATAACATGAAATGATCCAACTAAAAGCCAAGTTACAGAAACAGCTGCACCTCACCTGAACTGACAGGTGAGGTGCAGCCTCAGACAGGAGGCTGAGGATGCGTTCAAAGCTCAGTTTTATCATCTAGAAACATCACTCGCCAGCTGCAGGAACAGGAAGGAGAAAACAAACAGGCGGGAAATATACATCAGTATATTCTGCTGTTGTAAGAATAGTGGAGGTGAAGGCACGTCAGAGCTGAGAAGGTGGACTGTACATAGACCCTGAAACAGGTGAGTTCAGTGATTGGACAATGCTTATTTGCTGGAGCTTCAGACCGGGTCAGAACCATGGACAGTGTCCCTCCTCCACAGGATGATGACACGAGACCAGGGATGCTCTGATCACTCCACGTCACTGTTTCAGGTACACTGCGCAACCAACACTCACCAACACTGAACACCCAGTAGGATTTAACAAAGGTGATTCAACAGGTGAGACGCAGGTATCTTCTAGAGTCGCTGATTTAACTTAATTTTTATAATCTACTATTATAAAAACTTTTGTTTCAGAAAAGACTCATAAAAGTGTAAGTTTGCCTCTTTTTTCACGTCCGTTTCCCAGAATGGAGTGCAGACATGATGTGGATTTGGAGGAGCCGTGTCCAGTCTGTGGAGATAAAGTCTCTGGATACCACTACGGTCTGCTCACCTGTGAAAGCTGCAAGGTAGACTTTCTCCTCCGTCATTTCGTTGTTCTTGTTGCACAGACGTTATTAAAAAGTTTTTTTTTTTTTCAGTGAAAACGACCCGGGCGGGCGACCTTTGGGCAATTAGCCTAGAGATGTGGTTCGTAGTGCGTGCCCCTCGCGGGAGCGCGCACAGCTAAAGTAAAAACTACCAGATATTGTAGGACAATGATTTCTAAAGCAAAGAACTGTTAAAAACATTTAGTTTTCTTTAAATCTGAGGTCTGCAGTGTTCTCTATGAGCATCACTGTTTATTAAACTCAACAGAAGCAACATGTCAGACAGTCTTTTTCTAAAATGAGGCTTAAATGTGAAATAATGTGTTTCTTAAAGCAGTAGAACAGACTGTATCTGCTGATTAATGCATCCCTGGCACGTGCGCACATAGACATCAGAGGGGGCTTGAGAAAGTGCCCTTTTTCTGGGGTGCTTCCTTTAATAAATGAAAACATATATTCCTGTTTGCGCACAGCTTCCCTGTCAAACAAATCTACTGATTGAATTAAAAAATTAAATATAAGGTCGGGAGATTAGTCTCAGCCGAGAGGCGATGCCTGGTGAGCACACAGTCACAGCCAGTGACGTCAGACAGGCAGGCAGCACCTGCCAGCGCTTCAACTTCTCCCGTTGTGGTGGTTTTCCCTGGCTTGTTGAGGTGAGTGGTGATGAACGAGGGAATAAGCTGCCAGTGCCTGAGTTTATAGCTAATTAGACAACATTTATCATGGTCATCAGACAGGCTAATGTACTGTACTTAACTACAGGTGAATATAGTAAAATTTGTATCATTTGTATCACCAACATTTATATGCAAATGAGGCGTTAACCAATTAAAATTCGCCAATTTGCATAACTAAAAGAACTTTCCCAGTTAATTGCTTACATTCAGACAGTAGTTGCCCCTGAAATGTTGTTAAAACATGCAGATTAGCTTGTTTGGTGAATTTAGGTTAAATCTACAGATGCAAACAGATAATGTGCATTTTGAACGTTTTCTTTCCATTAGTGCAAAAGAAGACATGTTATGTAATGAAAATAGACTGAAATCTCAAAATTGACCACTAAATGAAAAAACAATGTTTTTTGTCTGTAGCGTCCTGCCTTAAACAGTGACTGCATCATTTTGATTGTAGGCCCCTAACTGAACAACTATTCATTCTATTGGTTTGTTGTATGCTAATAGAGATAACAGATCATCATCAGTGACAACAGATACATGGTACAGACAGCCCTACCTCAAATGTGAAAGGAAGGACAGTGTAACTAAGTCCTTGTTGTCATATGCAAAAATAAACGAGTTATCAATGCAATTCTTGAAAATTCTAAATTCATTATGTCCCTCTCCCTGGTGCAGTCAGTTATTCTCAATATATACTAGAAACTAGCAGACTAGAAAACATGCACGATGTGTCAGTTTCCTTTGTTGTTGCCTGTTCTTGTGAAAAAAATAGAAATATTGAATACTAAAGAAGACCTTTGTCTCTGTGTGAACTGATTATTTTGTAGAAATCAGTTCAGTAGTAATCAGTACTTATGTATTAAACATTTGTTTGAGTGTAGGGGTTTTCAAATAAATCGGTAAGTGAGTCAGAGATGTGATTTAACTTTTTGTTTTAAAACATTTCTTTTTATAAATAATTATGAGAGCTGCCCTTTCTCTCACTTGAGCCGCTGCCCCCCAAAATGTCGTCGCACGTCCCTGATGCATCCCATAATATTTCAGCTTGGGTCATTATAAAAGGTATGAAAAATATGCTGATAAAAAAGCATGTGATTCATGGATCATCAGAAATAAAGTTAGGCTACAGTGTTACTGCAGGTCTGCTGTTCAGTTTTACTTTGCAGTGTTGGCATTAATGTGCACATGGATAAGTTATATTGTTAAAGTAAATAAACAAGATGTAAACACAATTTATTGTACCGCAAGTTACTGTCGTTACATAAACTGATCATTACACATGGACAGGACAGTGTTTAGAAAATCACAAATTCAACTATTGAAAAAAAAAATTGTCAACAACACAGGCAGCATATTTGGGGTGATATGTTGTTCTGTAGAAACAGTCTAATGGAAGCTATAAGCAGTTGGAAACTCTGACCAAGAAAGTTATTCATTCTCACTGTCGAGCCCAAAACAGCCTGTTGTGGCCATTTCATCTCAACAGTGTGAATTTAACACACTTGATAATAGATTAGAAATAATATGAGATAAACTACTACTACTACTACTCCACAGCTACAGGCTCACATTCACATTTTGATTTGGTCAACCTTCATTCATGGAAGCTCAAATATGCATTATGATTGAATTAGTCATGGGCTGGATCCACACTTCAGGACCCACAACCCAAAAAATATGAATTTTATGAAATATGAAATATTTACTTTTAAAGTATTCAATGAAATGTATATTTTTACTCAGTCTTGTAGTCAAGTCTGTGTATCTAAATATAAGGTAGACCACATGTTGAGGATAAACCAATAAGAGTCTTCTTTTATTTTTTGTATAATTAAAAAATGGTTGTAACCAAAAACCAGACGTTTTTTGTCATGTTTAACCAACATTTATTGAAGATATTACCACAGAAACAGCTCTATGTCTATGAATGAAAGTCTGTGGCGATTAGACCCCATCATGATGTCATGAGAGGAGAACAAATTTTGAAGTATTACAGAGACAATGTGATTGGCTGGTTGAGATCGTGGCGAGATCTGATTGGTTGGAAGCGGAATAGAGAGAGTCCTTCTGACTAAACTTACACTAAACTTCATTAGCCTATACATGAGGATGTTAGTTTGTGCAGCAGGTTCTGGTGTCAGAGAGTTGGCAGCCTCTCAGCCAGAGATGCAAATGGAACAAGCTGGTTAGTTTCTGGTGATTCTCAGCGTTGGACAGTAATGAAGTACATTTACTTGTACTGTACTTCAGCATATTTTTCTAGTATCTTTACTTATTAGTTGTTGCTTTTTGTAAACTTCTGACTTTGACTCCACTACACTTAAATACAAATACTGTGCATTTGGCTCCACTACATTTCTATGAAGTACTCTTACTTTGAAGCAGAGCTTGAAGTCATTGGAATGAATTTTATTTTATTTTGAAAATGTGATAGAACATACACTGTGTAAAGATGAGGCAGAAGATTCTTCACCAGAGACCTGATCTGATCTGAAGTCTGTGTTTGAAGGTTTAGACATTTTTTTAGACATTTTTTTTAAATGTTCGGTGTGTTTACCACGAGCAGACTTTATCACTGAAAATGAAAAAAATAAAAAAGAAATAAGAAAACAATAAAGGCTCCTTATGTTGATTCAATTGTGTTTTTATGGCAATTTTTATCATCCTTGTATCATATCCTACAGTATTTTTATTCTACAGGTTCTACAGTCAGTCAGTCAGTCAGTCAGTCAGTCAGTCAGTCAGTCAGTCAGTCAGTCAGTAGGTTGTTTTAGAGTAATCAGGTTCTGTAAATGTGGAACAAATCAACAATGTGTTGACATAAAAATGCACTTTTCAATACTTCTACTAAAAAGTTCTTTAGTACTCAAGTAAACTTTCACTTGTATTGGAGTAATGTTTGACCAGGAGGATCTGTACTCTGACTCCAGTAATGAAGTTGTGTACTCTTCTGGTGATTCTGCTCTCAGACGTCTCTCTGTGTCAGAAACCATTCAACAAAGGAAATAGTTCCAGGATACAGAAAGGCCTGAGAGGATTATACTGGAGATGTTGTATTGTGTTCTGCATGCTGCGCTAGGTCTACTGGGTATCAGGACAAGACTCAGTATAGACTGCGACAATAGTATAACGTTCCTCTTCGTCATCACTCACAGGGGTTTTTCAAAAGGACGGTTCAGAACAACAAGAAGTACATCTGTGCAGAGAACCAGGAGTGCAGGATCGACAAAGCTCAGAGGAAACGCTGTCCGTTCTGTAGGTTTCAGAAGTGTCTTCATGTCGGCATGAGGCTGGAAGGTAAGGATGGCATTTTTTTTTTTTTACCTGCAACATTAATGTGAAATAACTGAACTGCTGTTGTATGGAAAACCTTGCACCTAATGACACATGCATCTTACAAATATCCAGCTGTCTCCTGCATCATGCAGCCTGAAATGAAATTTTCTGTCCAGTCGACATATGACAGAAATCAGTTCTATAGTCTTCTTGCTGGAGTGTTAGTCCTTCAAATTGTAAACATGGCTAAAATTCAGGTTTCCAAGACTATGAATCAGACTGTTCTCTAGTGCATCAGTTGTCCTGCCCAGGGCCTGTTTTACAGAACGTTTTCAGGATTTGGTGCGGCTTTACTGCGGTTCACTTGTGCTGCTTATTATTTTCTCCTTGACACATCAAGCTTTCAATAAATACTTCAGTCTGAGACTTCTAAATCTGAAGTCTCCTGGTGAAATCCTTCTCCTCTGACCTCTCTCACCAACACAGAGCTGCTGCTCACTGGATGCTTTTGTTGTTGCTCCATTCTGAGTAAAAACTCTAGAGACTGTTGTGAGTGAAAATCCAGCAGATCAGCAGTTTGACAAAAACTCAAACCAGCAACAATCATGTCACAGTCAAAGTCACTGAGATTCTGATGTTTGATGTGAACATTAACTGAAGCTCCTCACCTGGATCTGCAGGAGTTCATACACTGCTCTGCTGCTACATGATTGGCTGGGTAATTGCATGAATAAGCAGGTGCACAGCTGTTCCTGTATATCCATAGAGGTACAGCGTTTGGCCGAATGTCTTGCTCCCAAGCAGAAAAAAAATTTTTTTGATAGTAATATTCACTCATATTGAAAACAATCTTACAATTACAGTGTAATACTTAAACGCAGAGTCTGTAACTTCTGCCTCTAGGGCAATCAAAACAATATCAAAAGACAGCATTGGATGATGTCATGAAATAGTGTGGGATCATGGGATTTTTCACCACCATCATCGTAAGCTCCTCCCGGTTTGGATTCCTTCAGTGTCAGTGGTTCAGGAAATCAAACAGACCAGGTGATTCTAACCGTTAAAAACACTGAATGAAGCAGTTTGACATTTAAAGTCAGAGTTTGAGCGACGCTGTACGGAGGACAGAGACTCAGGGAAGAGCTGGAGCTGAGATCGATGCTAACCTTTGTTCTGATTGTTTCTCTGATAACTTATGAAGCAGATGTTCAGCAGGTTTTTACCAGCAGCTGAATGATCCACAGAGGTGTCCTCCTCTCCACAACAAACATTTCCTCAGCTTGTTTCTCTGATAACTTCAGATCCAGACGTCCGACGACTAAAATCCTTCATCTGGTTCAAATATAGAGCTGAAAACCACCAAGGTGGAAAAAGTGTATGTGGCTTAAAACTAGATAAAAGTCAATGTTGAGCTTCTGTCAGACAAACACACTGACACATGAGCATAGAGGATCATATACATCAGGATATGATGAAAAAAAAAGAAGTTCTAAACTGACTTGCACCAGATCATTACATTTTAGTGCAGATCTGGTTAAAGGACTGGGTCCAGGAATGTTTTATCACTTTCTTTAATGTGTAGGATCGTTTGGCCTCGTGTGAGTCATTCTAGTTATTACTATTACTATAGGCTATATCTCTATGTGGAACCTGCTCTGTGCTCTGTTCTCTTTTTTAGTATTTTTGGACTTAGCTCCTCCCCATGAGAGCTGGTTTGCAGCCATCACACCAGAAATCATTATCATCATTTCAAAATCAAAACATAACTTATGTAAAAGTCATAACCAAGTCAAAGTCAAGTCCAGTCTTTTATCAGTGTTGGTCAAGCAAGTCTCAAATCCTTGATTTTGTGATTTAAGTCTGACTTGAGTCAAGTCATGTGACTCAAGTCCCACATCTCCCACCTTTGCCCAGGGCCCACTAAAGTCATAATGTCATAATGATGTCTGGGTGATCTGCTCAGTAGGACAGTGTGTGCACACTCTACATCAGTGAAAATCTGATGCTCTAAACAAATCGGCCATTGTCCTCAGCTGTTCGAGCAGATCGGATGCGAGGTGGCAGAAACACGTTTGGTCCCATGTACAAGCGAGACCGTGCCCTGAAGCAGCAGAGAAAGGCTCTGATACAAGCTGGTGGATTCAGACTGGAGAGCAGCCCCCCTCTGGTCTACTCAGCCCACCCGAGAGACCTCACCTTCGCTGGTGGCCTCCAACCAGACTGCATCCTTCACAGCGTCCCGCTGCCCACAGAACAGAATGACTGCATCAGCTACCAGCCTCCATCACTGTGTTCACTTCTGCCCTCCAGCTCCCCTGTTGGCCCCCAGTACCAGAGCTTCTCCCTCTCAAACTGGACTATCAAGTCCAAGCACACCAACAACTGTGACAGTCCACCAGGCTCTGCTGCAGCAACCTACGCCGACTCAGACGAGCTACACTCGAGCTCTCCACAAGGTCCCGGGATGCCTCAGCTGGTGATGGAGTTCCTGCTCTGTGATCCAGATGAGCTGCAACTGCAGAATAAGATCAGCGCTCGTATCCAGCAGGAGCAGACCGGCTGGAGGAGACACGGGAACCCCGGCACCTTCAGCCTCATGTGCGTCATGGCTGACCAGACGCTGCTCTCCATCGTGGAGTGGGCTCGCACGTCCATCTTCTTCAAACAACTTAAGGTAACATCCGACCTGCTGGTTTCAGTTTTATATACATTATTAAAAGAAACATAAAGAGCCTGATAAAACCCGTATTTAAACTGTATTAGCTCTTTGTTTTTGCACCAAGGTCAGTGATCAGATGAAGTTACTGCACAGCTGCTGGAGTGAACTGTTGATCCTGGACATCATTTCCAGACAGGTCCTGTACGGCAGAGTGGGCAGTCTGCTCCTGGTCACTGGGCAGGAGGTGAGATAGTTTACTGTCTTTAAAGGTGTAATGTGTAGGATCATGCTACTTGCTCCACATCCATAGGGGGCAGCATTTCACCTCTTCCTCCCTGTCCAGTTAATCATGTTGTTGTTTTCCCCATGTTGCTTATAATTTATTATTTATATGTGCATTTATTGTTGATAGTTAAAATTGTTGATGGCACTGAAACAAATTATGAGTACTTGTAATACAAACAGAATGTTTGCATGACACATGGGTGTCAGTCTACAGCAGCATGAAAAAGGAATGATGACATCATCACAAGGGCAGAGTCAGAAATTAAGGTTTATTGTAAGATACTTTACTTACAAGGTATTTGGCTTGGTGTTTGGTGCAGTATACAATAAACATATTAACAGGAAATAATAAAAAGGTAAAATACTTCAACAGTCAAAAAGATGAATATAAATAGATACACATATAAAAAAATGTGAGCAGGGTGTGCAAAAAATCACAGTATTGACAATATGTGTTCTGTGCAGGGATAATACTCCAAGCTGTTACTGTAATGTGGTTGTTGTTGGTTGATGAGGACAGACACAGAAATAAAGGCAGGTGCTGGTCCATCACTGGGGAGAACTGGACATTTTTTTATTTTATGCAGAATGTATTACACATGAATATGAAAGCTGTGCAGTACAGAGGAACAATCATGACTGTTCATGATGTCTGTACATGTATTCTGTGGTTCAGGTGCAGCTGTCAGACATAGCATCTCAAGCTGGTCCTACCTTGGCCAGCCTGGTCCAGAGAGGACAGGAGCTGGTTGAGAGGCTCCATATCCTAAAGCTGGACCGTCAAGAGTTTGCCTGCATCAAGTTCCTCATCCTCTTTAACCCAGGTGAGTGATAGCTTATGCTTTTTAACCAGAAAGGTTCATATCTGCAAAAAGGTCTTCCATCCACACAGACTTTGACAGTAAATTGTGGTTTTCATCAAAGTACCTTTCAATATCTTATAATACAAACATCTTCACAATTAGGGCCAATTTCCAACATAGGAACTTATCAAGGGGAACAGGAACCATTTCAAGAATTTGGACCAAAAGAGCCTGGGTCTAGCTATAGTTCCACAGGTCTGCCAAAAAGGTCTATGATAAGGTCTAAAACCTATAGAGAACTCAAAGGTCTTACTATCAAATGGTAAATGCAATGTCAGGTACAGAATGTACAAAATAACTAATAATAACTACAGGTGGTGCCTCTAAAATTCTCCATTTCTACACTCCATGATATGAAAAGGTTTGACAACCTCTGCTATATTCATTGGTTGTTGTTTTCCCTTCCCCGCACTGACCAGATGTGAAAGACCTTGAGGAACATCAGCTGGTAGAGAGTGTGCAGGAGCAGGCTGAGGGAGCCCTGCTGGAGTACACATTGTGCACCTCCTCTCAGCACCTTGGACGCTTTACTCATCTGCTGTTGTGCCTCTCTGAGTTGCGCTCTCTCAGCACCCTCGCTGAAGACTACCTGTACTGCAGACACCTCAGCGGTGAGGTGCCCTGCAACAACCTGCTCATTGAGATGCTCCACGCCAAGCACAGCTGGCCATGAACATTCAGAGACTCTGTGATTGGCTGTTCTTGTTATTAAGCTGTAATAATGTCTAACACAATGAGTTTATCCCTGATATTTTTCTGTGTTTGAAGAATTAAGTTTAGCAGCAAATACAGTACAATAATTAATATTATGAATGGGAAAATGTGACTTGTGTCCACTTAAACTAGTTGCATCTGAGGTTTTGGCAAATATGTTTGTTTGCCGTCAAACCCAACATCTGAGTTCAGTTTTCTCTCTATGCATCTTGTACAGCGATAGACACAGTAACTGCTGGTGTGTAAGTATAAAAAGGCTCCAAAAACAGAATAGGTTTTAGCTGCAGCAGGTCATGTTTTTATACCAGCAGCAGTAAAGCTGGCTATCTCACTGACAATCTCAGTGAAATGAATGTAGTGTCTGTGTTGCTTTCAGCCTAAACCTCTCAGTGTCCCTTGCACAGTGTCATTCTTGATATTGCCACAAGATGCCGCCAACATAAATATCTTTTAGATTCTAGATGCAGTAATGCATTGCAGCTCTATGTGAGACAAATAAGGTTTTTTAAAATGAACCGATTCTTACTGTAAGTGTTGTAGTCTACAGCGAATGGAATGTGGCTTCCTTTAGGTTTTTTTTTCTTGACACTGACCAAATGTGCTTTAGTTATTTGTGCCAATGATAATGTGCAATTACTGAAAGTAACCTGTAAATAATGGCTTATTACTGGCCAAAATTGAATTATAATGGTTCAAGTTGTATTTCAGTTCAACTTGAATCAGGACTTTTGGTCACTTGGGGGAAGCAGAAATAGACTAAGCTATAAAGACGGCAGTGACATATCTTTACCTTTTAAGTTGACATTGTGAAAACAGTTGCCTATTTACATACACATCCAGCAGTCGCAGTTTGTGTTCATATAAGTCCAGTATTCCTTCTCTTTTAGCTCTGATTTGGTCTCCAGAGAAAAGTGTCTGGCTCTTTATCTGCTTAATTATTACTGCTAATATTATTATTATTATCACCAGCTGGTTTCTAATTGTGTCTGTTTGTTGCAAGACAGATAGTGTACAGTGGCTTTAGCAGCTGTCTGTTTCTCCTTCAGACTGAACCAAAGCAGTACAGTTGTGGGCTATAAAACCAAACAGTGAGCTGAAAGAGGCTAAAAAGTTATGTAAGGCTGAGATGAACCGCAGAGTTGGTGATAATTAGAGTTCAAGGGCGTCATTATTTCTCTTCTGTTGTAGCTTAAATTCCCATGAACTGAAATGAGCTAGAAACATGAAACTCTAAGCCTAATAACTGCAAATTCTGTGCAAAATGGTGGTGCTGTAATTAAGGCCCAAAAATGCAATTCTGGAAAGGCCACACCCCTCACACCGTAAATCTGAGTGATAACACAAATCCAGCTCAATGTGCTCAGTAAAAGAGCCTCTTGGACCATAAGAGTCATTCTGAATTTTGACTTCACCTCCTAAACCCTTGGTTCGATTGCTACCATATATTCTGTTCGTCATCTTTGGACCAAGTTTATCAGAAGTTAGTCAGTAAACGTTGTTATTTAGTTTTCAAAATATCGACCAATGAACTTCATAAGAGGCGGGGCTTAGCAGCAAAATGGCCAAAACTCAGTAATAATTTGTCCAATTTTGATAAATCTGAGCACGTCTTGCGTCCATGTTTGGGTACAGGTCTACCATAGGGGGCGCCAAAAACCAAAAATGTGTACCACAAAACCCAGCTGACAGAATTTCATCAGTTTAGGTGTGCATGCTCTGTAGGCAAGAATTAACCAAAATCTGAAACATCATATTGATTGTTGCAAGTGGGTGTGGCCTATCATATATTTGCTCATAACTCAAGATGCCTTGCAGTAATCGTATTAAACTCACTGTAGTCATCCTGAGATATCTCCTGAACGTACACGCGGAGTTTCATTCACATCTGCTGAAGAGGGAACCATATGGTGGACCATTGAGTGCTCAGTTATTGAACTGCTGCAGGCTTTGTGATGATGAAACAAGTGTGATCGGTCTCATTCCACAGAATTTAACTGATGCGACTTAGCTTCAATCTGGGCCTACGAGCTGCTTCCGATTGTTTATCACAATAGGCCTCAAACCCAGAAGCGCTTTCTTTTGGCTGTATTTCTCTGTGGGTTTGTCTGATCCACTGTTAATATAAAAATACTGATTATATTTGCTTTATGAAGCTTTAAAGTTATAATGTTTTCCATGTGTTACATCATGGTATGTATAACCTGTTATTATAACTGTGTGATGCTTGTTCTGATTGAAATATTCACATCTAAGTCGCTGTGCTTTTTACCGGGGCACCATTACATCATTAAATCATATTACACATCTGGTGTACTACGTGGTATTTCTGAAACCTTTGGAGAATAGTATAATTTCAAATAAACGTCTATGGCCTGAAGTAATGGCACACAACCCATTGGGAGCACATCATTTTTTCATATTTGTTGTAATTGTGATCTGGATGATTTTCCTCCCAGATGAACATAGTGGCCAAATTTATAACTACTCTTATACCCTAAATACATCAGCAAATAGAGGTGAGGGGGTTTGTGTGAACAGGGTGGCCTGGAGTGAAATTCCCGGCCTGAATGATTATTCAGTCTGCCCCTGGGCTGAAGCCATGTCTGGTCACACAACATGAGTTCTGATGGAGCCACTGGGCAGAGCAGCAGGGATGAAGAGGTGAATGACGCTGAGTCCGATTGGTCCACTTAAGGTGAATTTTAGTTTTTGGAAAACAGGCTCCAACAATATACATGCTGTTACACATGAAGCTTCATATTTATTATTTAATGGAACATGAAGCCAGAGGATGATGGGAAAGCAGGCACACTTCCTGCAGGTTAAAGTCAAAGCACATTAAACCTTTGTTTATCAGTCGCTGAGATCCACCGATTACACCTTCAACCACCTGTTTTCTCCACTCTGCTTTAATAAAAGGCTTAATCAACATAATGCACTCATCTTGTTGTGTGGAGGCGCCCTATCTGATCTCATCCACCTCACTGGAGCCCATTTCCTACCCGACCTTGACATCCAGCTGGCATCAAGCTGGCATCCGTCCTGTTCAAGGACAAAACATGGCAGCATGATTAAATACACAGTGTTAGAGGCACACAACAGAATCTTACCAGGAAACTTACAGAGACCATTACAGGTACTTGCAAATGTGGCTTTACAATTGTTAACATAAAAGAATGGAAGCAATTTAAGACTCATGAGGTGTGTGATATCCAAACATTTGTTAATTGCAGTATGTTTGCAGTGAACCATTTTTCTTGCATTTGTGCCAGACTCTTTCTCCTGAACATTTTCTGATGGTTGTGGTTAAAAATTCAAAGAAACACTGTTCATTGTATTTTACAGAACATGCAGAATATTTTTGTTGTTGTTGCTTAGACCTTAAGAATCTTTAAAACATTTTGCTTGTCTGTATGTTTTTCAAATCATTTTAAAGTCTTACAATTTCTTTAAAAAGTCTTTCTGTGTTTTGTTGCTCTGCAGTAGAGGTAACTGTGAATGTAAAACCTCTTTAGTTTCTTCTTTTTTTGTCGTAGTTATGATTTAAGAGATATTATCTTTATTATCTCGACTCGGGAAAGCAAATGAAAATAAAGTTAAATGTGCTGAATCGTTCTTTTTATTTCCATCATTTTATTGTAGTTGATTAGTATTCTGCATATGAGCACACAGCCTAAAATGTCTTCTGCTCTTGTTGTGTCACCTTCTCACCACAATCTTATTGTAAAATGATTTGAGCTGTAAAACCCTTTGAGCTCAGCTTCATGCCTGTTTATGAGGTTTTAGTCCTTTTTACTTGAACTATTATAGTTCACAAGTAATTTATATCTTACAGTAGTATCTGCAGATGCTGATATGAATACTGCATTGTAATATAATGTCAGGTGCCATTATAAGGACTACAGCATAGGTAAGAGGGACTCATGATGGACAAATAGAAAGACATAGCAGCCAGCAGAGAGCCTCAAATTTGAAGGAGCAACAACTACATGACTTAGCCTACTGCTGTCCATCAAAAATATTCACTTGTTCACAAACGTGTGCTTTAACCCATCTGGTTGAAAGAACAACTGTCAGACTCCTGCTCTGTTTCAAAGTGATATTGTTTCTGTTTCGCGTAGTAGAGCTTTTCTGAATAGTTGTGTAAACAATTTATGCTGGATAAAAGTTTGGACACTCCGACAAAAATTATTTTTGGTCAATAAGATGAAAGAGGTTTCATTAAAAATTATTCATCAGTGTTAACCACTTAGATCTCTTTTTGGTAAATTCAGAAATTATACTAACATAAGCTGTGCCTTCTCATACTGAGACTGTGGTCCATCAATTTTGGAAGTGTTTACATCTATACCTGTAAACTGGCGAGATATTTGTAGGTTTATCTTGGATGATATCGTCTGCAGCTTTGAGCTTCTGCTGGAAAAGATTAAGGGGCGTTTCTTAAGGATCAACGCAATATGAAAGAGAGTATTTTCTGATCATCCTCATTATAGGCTATTATTTGCAAAGTTTTATATTCATAAATGTAAATTTGTTGAAGTGAAACCTCACATTCATGTTTTCAACAAAGAAATTGTGTTATATATTAAGAGTCTAGCTAGCAAAAAAAAAGTGACTTAAATTCATTTATGTTTACTTCTGGCATATTTTATTCTATTGTATTATTAAGTTATTATTGTTTTTCTATATCAATATTAACCCATATGTATTTTTTACGCATACATCTATTTGAATTGACTCAGCGGGAGAAAAAACCACCCGCCATAAAACGAAAGAAGAAGAAGAAGACGAAGTCACTTCCTGTACTTCCGGGAAACACAAATCTTCATTCACCAAGATGGCGACATTGACAGTGAGCCGGCCACCGATCGCGGGTTTCAGTTTCGAAAACTGCAAGAGGTGAGTGCGTTTCAGAGAATGAAAGTGAGACCAGAGTCACTGCAGCACTTAGTTTAATCA